CATTGTACAGTGGCATTAAGTGCCGTAATGTGCACGTCTGCCTACCCCTTCGGGGATAAAAAGGCGTGATGTTATGTTATGTTATTTAGTTATTATTTATAAGTTAAATAATAACAAGGGCAAGGGGTCTCGGGTTCGATTCCCGGGTCGAGCAAAGTATTACTGGGATTTTTCAAAAAACTCAGTGGTAGCACGAAGTTTGGAATTGTGCCCGGTATATGGCAATAGGCTCACCCCCTATTTCATGGGACTCATAACATATATAGTGAAAAGTGGGTGTTACATTGTACAGTGGCATTAAGTGCCGTAATGTGCACCTGTGCCTACCCCTTCGGGGAAAAAAAGGCGTGAAGTTATGTTATGTTATAAGTTAAATTGCTGCGCCCTAATAGGGTCATGTACTGTACTAGTATCTAGTATAATGCCGCTATGTATGTACATTTTGCAATAAATAAATAAATAAACTTATACACATGTTTTGGCAATTAAAACGATCTTTATCTTTACCTTTATCTTTAATGGCATATAGAATGACGGATGACCAAGTCGCTTCTTATTTTGTGACGAGTAGGACCAGCGCTCACTGCCGGCATGTCACGGCAAATAGTGCTACGGCAGTTACTTACCATGGTTAATTGCATTAGAATGATCGAATCCGCATATTTCTAATTTTTGACATGAACACATAGAAATAATTTAAAACAATAAAATCAACAAGCAGTTTGGGTCTGTATATCTGCCAATTTGTCCTGAACTGCCCAAATGTAGGCGCATATAATAATAGCAGAATCTTCTTGGTCTACCGCTACGCAATATATTGTACCACAAATAATAGTAAGAATGTAGTCGTTAATACATACTGACTATGTTGCACAATAAATTCACCGACAAGCCACACTTTTCCTAGTCCCATATTCACCGTTCTCTATAAACATTTTAAATAATTTCACGCGAAAAATATGTCTATCTTTTATACTACCTATTATCTATCCCCAATCTCCAAATACCATTTTTCGTGGTTATCATTTTGTTCCAAAATCTTGTTTGTTCTAAATGTTGTGTTTAATCCACATCGTTATCCAAATAAATCAAATTCGTCATTCATCACCAATTATCCAATTTTTGATCAAAGTTTACCCTTGACATAATTTGATCGCAAGAAGATATCGTCATTCTAAAGTGACCACGAAGTAATATGGATTGAAAAATCTTTTTTAACAAGAGAAATATTTATAAATATATAATAAATATTTATAAGAAAAATATTAACAATTTTGAGCAAGTAAAGGTTTAAATTCAAACTAATTGAAACTATAATATTTGTAAGTCGTAATATTTATAACATGACAATTTTCCTTAGAGCATTGACATAGTTTTCTTTCAGCGAAATTGTATAACTTGAATAATTCTGACATCCTAAATTTAGTATACCTAATTAAATTAATAAATAAAACATTATTATTCTAATTAAATATGTATAAAAATAAAGTAAAATAAAAAAGAATATCTGTGTACACAATTTATTTTAAACCTGGCTTAATCTTAACAATTTACTTACAATGCGTAAAGACAAAAACGCACAATATTTTATCAAATATCCTTGTAATGTACCTACATGCACACTTTTTGATCTTATCTTAATATCAATTTTCTTCAAAAATCTGTAAAACGGCCTTTGATTATAATCATTTACTGACCGTTTTTATCATCATTGCATCAGGTCAACAGAAACTTTATCAGTTGATATCTGACCATTAGATCAAGCTCAAATGCCAATAAAAACAAACGAGCTTGCGCATTTTCTACAGTGAGGTGACGGTTGATCAAGCAACATGTTGAAGTTACTAATTTTTTTGGCTGCGGTGGCAGGTAAGTGACTAATATTTCCACTTGTATTTTCACTTTTCCCACCATAAATCCCATGTATAAAAACTATTTACTTTATATAATACTAACGTCTGCCAGTGGCTTAGCTCGCAATCTCAGGGGTAACAATCTATCTATCTGTTACTCCAGTCCACAATCTACCTGTGTTCCAAATTTCATCCCGGTCTCTTCAGTCGTTTTGATGTGACTGAGTAACAAACATACATACAAACTCACATATTTTCACATTTATAACATTGGTTCAAGTGTAAGTTACAGCGTAAAGTCCACTGCGAGCAAATTAACATTCGACGAACTTATATTTGCGTTTGGTTTAGTGACTGTGTAATTGTACCGGTAGTTTTTGCGTGATGCGGGGAGATATACGGATAGACAAAACTTAATTTAATCACATTTTTGAGTTCATTATCTACCTAGTAATACCCTCTATTTTTATTTTGATATTATTAATGTACAGAATTTATACTTCTACAGTTTTATTTCCTATATTTATAGATTTTTATATCTATATATATTTTAGTCCTTTTTTAGTTTAGGAGCTCTTTTATATTTAGGAGAGGTCGATGATAAAGAGCCTTAATATAAATAATAAATTCAATTAGGATCATCATCATATCAGCCATAAGACTTTTACTGCTGAACATAGGCCTCCTCCAATGACTTCCTGATAGCCCGGTTGAAAGCGATCTACATCCAGAAGGGACGATTTTATACTCAAATTTCTATTTTTTTTTTCAGTTTGTCTCGGACAGTGGCAGAACATTAGAGTAAATTACACCCTGTTCACAAGGTAAGTATAATAATAAAAAGATTTTTAATTACATCTCTGTATTCTATTGAAAATATTCGATAAGTAATGCACAATACACACTTTCCGATTTAACTGTGTTGGTTTAACTGTACAGTGGAACTGTACAGTAAAAACATAGGTCTATACAACCTACACACCTTCAGTTAAAACTGTACAATTCAACTATTTGCTCTATACGCCTTACAACATAATTGTATAGTTCGACTGTACAGTTAAGTCAGGCACTGCACAGTTAAGACTGCAAATCCTTACTTCCTTACTTACCTCTATAATATTATTATAAATCGGAAAGTGTGTTTGTTTGTTCCACTTTCACGCCGTAACTACTAAACCGATTGTTTTGAAATTTTGCAGACGTAAAGTTAGAAGTCTGGATTAAATAATAGGGTACTTTTTATGCCGGAAAATTTGATATTCTCGAGGGAAAACGAAATTATTGGTATAGATGACGCTGTGTGTATTGGTATATGTCACATAGGCTGCTTTTTATCCTTTTGTGACGCGAGTGAAGCCGCGGGTAAAAGCTAGTAGTATTTATTTTCAAAATGTTTGCGAAGCTAATTGAAATGAATACAAATATAACCCTAAAACAAATTTATGGGAAATAATTTTTGCTAAGATTTACCTACTTTTCAACTATTTGTGGCCAAGTTCATATTATAGTTCTGCGTTTTTTAATAATGTACCAATTTTCATGTAGTTTTAAATATTCTAGTTGATTTAAACGTCCAATTGTAAAATAAAAAGTTATTCTTTAGATTTATCTGGTTATTGATTTAAAACTGTATTAGAATGTTTCTAGCTTTCAAATCAAAAGATTAAATTAGTTTAAAAAGCAAATAATGGTTACTGGTAAAAATTAGCTCTGATGCTTAAAAATCCAAGAAAGGTTGATTACTACTTTATTAATAATTTCCCATTTTTTAATATTATCCCGGGGATACTGTCAAGATATTGTTCAGTGATTTTCACGTGGATGAGCCATGCCATTTCTTATGTGTGATAAGGTCATTGCACACCAAACAAGCACGGCTCCGCGCTCCGGCACGGCTACAACCCAACAATAATTAACGTGCATTTAAATATGAACTTTAGGTTGTGTGTCGTATAATATACTTCATAACGTCAGTAAAAAGGTTGCGTTACATCTTTTTGTATAGTTTCCAATGCAAAAACGCTGTGCCGGACCCGTGCCAAACCCATACTGAGTAACTTACCGGCTACAGAAAATGTCGACAAAATTCTCGCCTGAAATTAATCTACAGACTAACATTGATATTATCTACATACTTCTTTATTAATTTAGTAATGATAAAAATATATTCTTCTTTTTTTCAAGGAATGACCCAACCGATGGTCAGGATATGACAGAATCCATACCAGATGATTTCTATGATGAGGAAAATACAATATTCCTAATACACGGTTACGCGGGCAATACAGTGAATAGGTTCAATAAATTAGTCCGGGATGGTGAGTGTGATGAGTGTTTTATTTATACTAATTTCTATCTTCTATCGGTTTCGAACTTCGAAATATATTTATAACCTGCATTTTTATTTTGAATTATATGTACACCAAATGTTAACAAATACATATGTGAAAACCGCTTTCGAATTGGATCAATAGTTTTCCTGCGATGCGCGGACAATTCTTTTGAAAAAATACCTTTAATGTACAGAATTAAAATTTTTTATTTGTATAGTTTATATAATTGTATAGATTTTTTGATGTCACTTTGTAATTATACATCCATATATGAACCTAAAATGTGGTGGAGAATTTTGTCACTTTCGCTTCTACGAGTGTAATGCTAGTAAAATGCTAGTATGGTTTAAATGAATTACAGATTACGATCCATAATCTCTGGATCAACCTTTGTTTTTACTAGTCCTTCACTAATTTTAGACATCAGATATTACTTCATAGATACAGACTGTTGTCTGATAAACCAGAACATTTTAAATTGTAATTTTTAACCTTACTGACAAGCGTATTAGTTACAGCAAATCGTTTTTATATATAATGATGTGATCTATACAGCGGATACATGGTGTTACAGAAACTCTACAGCTATATTCCATAGTTGAATTAGTTCTTTGATATTTGATATAGTGTGTACTATAATAAACTATAATAAAATCTTAGAATATAGTTAAATATATTTTCCATACTTTTACTATTTACGCTGGAAGAATTGCAATAGCCAATAACCAGAAGTTATTTATAATGATAAATCACTTATATGGTATAAATAGGTCGCGATTTATATAACTTATATCAGAATAAATTATAATTATAACCTACATAATTATATTATTGTGTATTGGGATAATTGAATAATTTAAATCACCGTACTGATGGTACCTATTTATGACTTCGTACATTTTTATACCAATAGCCTCAAAAGTCTTATTTTTTTTTTAATTTAATTTTTTTAACATTAATCTATGTCTTTCAGATATTTTCAGAAACACTACAAATCACTATAACGTTATTGTTGTTGACTGGACAGCAGAAGCGAGTTTTAGTTACACACATGCAAGGAATAATGTACCTAATGTTGCTAGGAACTTAGCCAGTTTTATACAAAGGTTAACAACTACGGGAAAATTTTCAAAATTAAGATCAGGTACTCGTATTTATAATGAAGCCAGTAGAGTACTAGGACAGTCAGCAGGACCAACAGAAGATCCTACAACAACATCAGAAGCTACAACAACAACAACACCAGAACCTACAACAACAACAACAGAACCTACAACAACAGAAACTCCAACAACAACAACAACAACATCAGATCCTACAACAACAACAACTGAAGGATTTGCAACAGAGGGTTTCGAACTGCCGGGTAATGAAGCAAACGTAGAACTTTTTCATTTGGTTGGGTTTGACCTTGGAGCACACGTTGCTGGTATAGCTGGTAGAATTCTTCAGGAAGACTCTCAATTGGTTGGTAGAATCACTGGTAAGTTTTTATTGATAACTTTTATATGGCGATCTCATTGTTCAAATGTTTGGTTCTCTCTTCGCTTGGTATAATAGTTGCGTTTGCGACACGATTATTCTACCAAGCAAGCTTTTGGTTCAAATCCAGTTTAACTGTGACTATTGTATGTTTAAGATTACACCAATTTTAATAGGATTTATAACGTATTAATGTTGAAGAGACACCCTACCTTATCATTTCATAGTGATATTATTGTATTAAACTGTCAAACACCAAGCGGTCACCGGTGACCGCAATGACGGTACTCGACGAGTTAAGTAAGTTCGTGTTAAGCTATTCTCTCCTTCTCTCTCTCTCTCTCTCTCTCTCTCTTTCTCTCTCTCTCTCTCTCTCTCTCTCTCTCTCTTTTTCTGATTAAATAGTGATGATTTGTTACATTATAACTGATGTATTTACGTTTACCTGTGCTTATGATATTGATATACACATTGTTACATAATGTAGAGGTATTTTGTTACGTCGGTTTTGTATATTTTATATACTATAATATTACTTTTAAGTTAACAACTTATTGCACCGAACACGTTCTCACTGGACCACCTAGTTAAAAATACCCATGGCCTAAAACCCAGCTTTGTACTTTAGTTGCAAAACGTTCAATAAATAAATAACGTTTACTTTTAGGTTTGAACCCATCAGGACGTCAGTGGGGCACAGGTTCCGAGCGCTTGAAACGAGGTGATGCCAGATACGTTGAAGTGATTCATACGGATACTTTAGGCGTCCTTGCCAATGGTATCGGAGATCCCATTGGTGACATAAACTTTTACGCTAATGGAGGAAATAATCAACCAGGCTGCCTCACACACTCCTGTTGCCATGACCGCGCTTTCGAGCTTTTCGCAGCATCAATGATCAACCCCAATTTAAAGGGACGTGCATGTACTACACAAACACAAATGAACCTTAATTTATGTCGTGGAGAAGATTTGCATTTAGGTGGCACTCGTTTATCAAAGAATGGGTATGTTGAATAATTTTGCCATTATTCCTTATTTAGCAGCAAATTTTACGCTATAAGTTTTTAGTTGATTTCAACGAATTGGTATTGTGTTTTACAAAAACCATGAAAAATTGAGAAAAATATTATTAAAGGCCAAAAATTAAACGAACAGTCGGATCACCTGATAGTAAACAATCAGCGCCGGCGATGGACACCCAAAACACTGGAAGAGTTACAAGTCCGTTGCTGGCCTTTTGGGGGGTTAGACATTTGAGGATTAGGGTTTTCGGGGATCGGGTAGTTTGGGGCGGGGGCCATTCCTCCGGTATCCTCACTCAAGGTTGGCATGGCCACGCAGCTTTTCCATGAGGTCGTGGTACCACTCTGATCGAGCTGGGCCATCCGTGCCGAAGCATAGTACCACTTAGCTACATTTAACGGTCTTACAAATATTAAATATTTTATTTGGGAATTTTTAATATAAGTATTTGAATTATTCATCATAATCAAGATTGGTCATTGGTCAAGAGATTTCAAACAAAGTACTGGTGAAAATTTAGTACAACTTTTTACAAGTACAGATACACCTCCGTGGTCTAAAACGTGATGATATTATGTGGGATATGTAATAAAATATTTTATATTGTCTTTCAGTGCGTTCGTCTACAGGATCAATACATCAAGAAGATATCCGTTCTGAAAAATTAATGATTAAAGACTAATAAATGTATTTAAGAAGCGATAACGTTTTTATTATCTGACTACCTACCAACATCTATCTATATACATAAAAGAAATCGTGTTAGTTACACTATTTATAACTCAAGAACGCCTCAATCGATTTAGATGAAAATTGGCAGGGAGGTAGCTTAGAACCAGGAGACGGACATAGGATACTTTTTATAGAACACTGTTTTTTACTTTTTACCGAAAATCACAAACGGGAACGGGGGAAAATGGGATTGCGCTTACGAAGTCGCGGGCAGAAGCTAGTTAATTACCTGCACATAATTTATTGTTATGATAATAACGAAAATGTAATGATGTCTTTTATATTCGATGTGTCGATGTCGTGGTTGAGGTTCACAACCTAAAAACAATAAGTATCTTTTCCCGAGTTATATGTAGGTACTTTCTAAGATTATTTAGACACCACTGACAAACAGTGAAGGAAACCTTTTAATTTCGAATTTAAAGTTTGTAATCGCCAACCCGCATTGAGCAAGCGTGGTGATTAAAGCTCAAAAATTCTCCATGTAAGAAGAGACTTTATTCAGCAGTAAGTATTTATAGGCTGTTGATGATGAATAGTGTCTTCAATCGCAACCGCAAATATCCTTAAGTTAAACAGACACTCGCTTTATTAGTTTAGTAGTCAACCAACTAGGTGATTGATGATTTTACTAATTGCTACAGTCGATCAAGAATAGAAGTGTTACTGGTTTTTTAATAGTGGTCTTTAGTAAGAATACAAATTTGAAAAAAAAGTAAGTCCATTGAAATGTTCCATGAGCTTTATTTGTTAGAGGACGCAATTAAATTTTTGGGACATGTGTGGAGGGTCAATAGAAACTTAACCTCAAGTATATGGGGTTGCCTCGTTGGCCGAGTGGTCGTAAGTGCGACTGCCGGGCAAGGGGTCTCGGGTTCGATTCCCGGGTCGGGCAAAGTATTACTGGGTTTTTAAATATTCACAGTAGTAGCATGGAGTCTGGAATTGTGCCCGGTATATGGCAATAGGCTCACCCTCTATTACATGGGACTCATAACATAAATAGTGAAAAGTGGGTGTTACATTATTGTACAGCGGTATAATGTGCACCCCTGCCTACCCCTTTGGGAATAAAAGGCGTGATGTTATATTATGTTATATGGGGTTGCCACCCTTGTGCTCTAGCCGCCATCTATCAGATTATCATCGCCTGTCTTCTTATGATCCTTCTGTGGATTTAACAGGCATTTTATTTTGTAAATTAAGAAGATTACTTTGCTTAACAAAAGAAAGGAAGTTACCACCTAGTTTAGGTACCCATTTCTTTTCGCAATGGTACCTGTGCTGGCTGCTATGATATGAATAATATTCAATAGTTTACCTATACCGTTTCTGACTAAAATCAACAAATTAAAAAATATATATTTGTTCCTGATACACCGTAAACATTACTTTTGTTTTACCATTCAATTCTTGCGACAAAATATTATTTTAACAATTAGTAAATGTTTGACTGAGAAATATTTAGTTTAAATATTATGTTTTTATTCTTTCCTAATCATTGTCATAAGTCCATGAGAGTCCAATGCGGTTTTGTGAGCCTCCTCTGTAAAAGCGGGGTTTGTTGTAACATTAACGCTTGGAAAGTCAGATGGAAATCACAGTTTAGAAGGATTCCCGGAGCTATGGATGGCCTGGGTTACACGAGCTCCAGCTCGAAGAACAGGTTTGTTTTTATTTAGTAAGAGTAGGATACTCAAGCTCGCCTGATTCAAAGGGGAAAAAGTCATAGGATGATTTTTTCCGTCTTCAAAAATCCTTGTGGATTAAGTGATGACTGCACAGTTGGCGCGGTGACTGGGCAATCGGCTGCCATGCAACGTGTAGCGGGTTCGATTCCCGCAAGGAGCAACTAAAGAGTTGACAAAGCGTACCCCCAGTGGAAAAAAGGCATAAGACGAAAATGGTGATTTTTCAGTATGGCGAAAAAATTGAATTTATGGGCATATTTACTTTATTTTCAAACGAAGAAGAATTATTCTTGTATCAAAAAAAGGAGAAAAAAAAGTTGCACTGCGTGTTGTATTTAAGTTAGTACTAATGTTTATAGTTTATTAGGAATTGTAAAAAAAAAATATTATGCTATTTTTCAAAATGTAATGAAATACAGGATTCTGAGTATCAAAATGTATGCCAGACTTTGCCAGAAAAGAAAAAATATTTCAAAAAGTATGTTGTATTAAAGCAGTAATGAACTTGTAAATACAAACATTTATGCTAGTATAAGTAAGATTACTACATTATTTCCTTTATTACAATTATGTTTGAAATGTATTAGCAATACTTACCCCATTTTTCAATTTAGGGGCTTGCTAAGGTAACTTAAATAAACAAAGATAATTACTTATTCCATTATTATGTTAAAGAAAAGTTAGCTGCATATTAACACATATTACTTAGAGTTAATATTTATGACTAAAGGGAAAAAAAGGAAATGCATTTTTTGTGTTCATTATTTTTTTATTTCAGGCAAATTATAATTATAGTTTTGGCTACAATTAAAGTTCGTACTATCAACAATAAAATTTGACAGTAATAATTCAGCAATGTGGAGTTTCGGTGAAGATTACTACCACTAATGACTTTTTTTTAAATGATTAACTAATCAGTAGATCATTTGTTAAGATTTGTAACAATTAACGAAATAACTTCTTTCTTGGCTCCGTACAACAAAATATTATGTTCTCTCAATAAAAATCTAAGATAACAAGCAAAAATTATTAACAAATCAAGGTACTTTACACATTGCCAGTACCTTTTGTTTTAAAATAATCAACAAATAAAAATACAAAAAAAA